TCACAGAGGAATGAGTTGAATGATGTTCAACTTTTTTTGTTCAATTCAAAATTTTCTAACTATTTATCTATATGTCATCCATTTGTAGCCAGAGATTGTGGTAAGGTAACTTTTTATTAAAAAAAAAAATCAAATTGTCAAACACAACAGTTGTAGCCTTGTAGGATCATTTAAATGGTGAGAAAGAAAGTATACAAAAACTTTACTAAGATTTACCAGATTTTCTCATAAATTTCTCTAACTTCTTTATAGACTTTTTACTTTTAAAAGTATAGATTGTGACACTTGTCCCCATAAATTTCTCTAACTTCTTTATAGACTTTTTACTTTTAAAAGTATAGATTGTGACACCTGTCCCCATAGATCACATCAACGAGTTTTACTTATGTTGCATGCAACATGTGTAGACAAAAAAAAAGGAGCGAATAAACAAATTTATTCAAGAAGATGATTCATTCCGTTACACATGATTCATACTATATTACTAAACATGCTATTACGCATACTTATAGTCATAGATTAGATCTACAAACAATTTAAACAATCTAGTAACCTAGCATCACACCTCAACAAACATATAGTCTACATGCATTACATACACTTATCATGCTATCATCATTACAATAATCTCAACATCGATGTCATGTCGAATAGCTCAATGTTAATAATGAGATTATTGTAATGATGATAGCATGATAAGTATATGTGATGCATGTCGAATAGCTCAATGTTAATAATGAGATTAGATTACCATCATTAGTCTTTTTCCTCCTTCTATTCTCATTTTATTATATATGGGTAAAGTTTGTAACTTTTAGAAACTAAGAGGGTTTTATCATAAATATATGATAAAATGAGAATAGAAAGAGGAAAAAGAGTAATGGACAATATTGTAATATAAGGAATGATTCATACTGTTTTAATTTTTTTTTTATTATGATCTTAATATTAGTTTCTAAAATTTATTTATTTAACAGAAATTGACCATTATGCATCATTGCATTAGCCTTTGTTTGTAAGTTGTGATGAATCTGGTCAAGCTTTCAAGAACGGCAATGGTTGTCAATAGTGTTAAATGCTAATATAGAGCTATGGGATATTCAGTTTTCATCATTGACCCACCACGGATTTTGCGTGAGAATTATCTTTATTTTAGTAAAAATATCTTTAGGTTGGTATATATTGATATTTTAATATTCGCATGTTTGATAATACTTGGTTACTGTTATTTTGGGACCATTCCTTTTTGGACATATTACAAGTGATAATGTAATATGTTTTTTTAATATTTAAACTTTAAAACAAAATTTCGACATGCTCAGTTTTATAAATAATAACACACTTAGATTCAGTTTATTATCTAAGTTTCATTCTTGTAACTCATATCTTCCACTTATTCTCTCTTTCACAAAAGAAAGAACCAACATTTGTTTTAAATTTTGAAAATGGATTCCCTAAAAAAACTTTTTGTCTCACTATTACTGTTCTTGTTCTCTTCTTTCCTCTTTGGTAATTCACAATTATTATCTTATAAACTTTTCATCGGAATGGACAAGTTTTAGAAGTTACAATTGGTTATTTATCCATTTATTTGGCAGGAGATATCAATGGAGTTGAGAGTTCAAATAAGCATCCTCATCCTCAGCACTTGTACGGTCCAAAGAAGATGTTTGTGTTTGGAGATTCTTACGTCGATACCGGAAACATTTATATGCATGAAGCTACTTCATGGGAAGTCCCTTATGGTATCACATTCCCCGGTAAACCCTCTGGCCGTTTCTCAGACGGCCGTATCTCTACCGATTTTCTAGGTACTTCTTCAACCGTAACTCTAAAACATTATTATCCTTTTCAAAAAGAAGAAACTCTAAAACGTTTTCTTCATTAAATTTCACATATTGACAATAGATAAACCGGATTAAAAGTATAAATTGTATTGAAATACATGTTTATAAAAATTCAATTGTGTCGGCGGATGGATGCAGCCAAATTGTTGGGACTAAAATCTCCTATTTCATACCTATGGAAAGATTATGCGGTTAATGAACGGTTAGAGTATGTAATGAATTTTGCATACGGAGGAACTGGAGTCTTCGAAACTATAAATTCAAATCTCAACATGACATATTAGATCAATCTCCTCGAACAGCTAATCGGCAATATCTACTCTCCATCCGACCTTTCTTCTTCCCTAGCTCTAGTTAGTTGTTCTGGCAACGATTACATAACTTACTTATCCAAAAATGGCTCAATCCTTGTAAGTTTTTCTTTATATATGTTAGTTTTAATCAAAAGTTTTATAATAATACAAATAAAGATTAGATATCATATAGAACTTACAAAACATCTATCTATATAAACAAAACTTCAAACAAAAACATCGATGAGAAAGAGAGTTTACTTGATTCTTATCACAGGGCATCCCGGCATTCACGAAGAAAATCATCAATCAAACCGAGGTGAATTTGAGGCGGATCCATGCCTTGGGAGTAAAAAAGATAGCAATATCGTTGTTGCATCCGCTCGGGTGCATCCCCTTTATCTCCAAAGGCTTCTCAGTCAAGGATTGCAAAACAATTATAAATGCGTTGGTGATCTATCACAACAACTTGTTGCAGACACTAGTGGCCAAGCTCAACAAGGAGACCGAGCATTCGACTTTCGTGGTCATTGATTACTACAATGCCTTCTTGACCGTCTTCAAGAACAAAGGAGAGATTCCAGGTGAGAAAGTAAAAACAACATCCTTAATTAAAATCCATATTTTCAAGTGTGATTGGTTATGGAAATGTAGGGAGTACGAGGTTTGAAACTCCGTTGAAAGAGTGTTGCGGAGGCTTTTGTGGGGTTGTGGACGAGAAAGGTCAGAAGAACTATACCTTATGCGATGAACCTAAGTCTGCTTTCTTTTAGGATGCACTTCACCCTACACAAGAAGGATGGAAATCGGTTTACGCGGTTTTAGGCAAAAATCTAACCGCATCTCTCATTAAAGCGTAAATCCACTTATCGTGAAATCGTGTGTGAGATTTTAAAATTTTCTCATGTGTAATTCAGTTTGCTTTCTTCTCTTATAGTTGGTATCTTTCGGTCTTTTGAGTGTGTCTTCTTTCATTTATGCCTCGCTCTATGTGTGTAAAGAATAAAAATGTCAACTTTAAGAAAAGTAAAAGATTGCAATAAACCACTTTGTGTATTGCTCTGTCTTACACACTCTGTTTCAACTTAACATTTACATCTATTCTACTTCGAGAAATATCAGATCAATAATAATGAAACGCCAATATGTAAGAAATAATCTATACTAGTATTTTTGCATCACTTTGGTGACGGGTGGGTAAAAATGCTTTTAGGTTAATCGGGTATCCGACCCGTTTTTTTGAATTCATTTACAAAAAAATACTTGGATCGGGTTATATTTAACACAACTCATACACCGGATATTCCATATTTAATAATTTAGATATTTAGAAGATTTGATTAAGATTTATAATTATGATTCTCCTATCATTTTTGTTTGATTTGTTTTTAACTTTTTTGAATCATTATATAATACATAAAGTAAAAAAAAAATCAATTTTTTTTCTGCATATACTGCGATTCGTAATTTTAAAAAGGGACATATATTATCCAATTGATGAAAATGTGTGTTGAACGTTCTACATCGATTAAACTATTTAGACAATGATTCAGAATCATATCATAAATAAGAACATTAATAAAATAAATGAGTTTTTTGGCTGGACGGGTTTAGCTGAACGGGTTTGTGAATCAACAATAATAAAAAGATTAAAATATCATTAATCCGCCGTTTCAATACGGATTAAATCCTTTTTTCTTAATACCACAAATAATAGACATATTAAATCAGTCTCATTTAGAAAAGATTGTATAAAACCAAAAATTGTCCCGTGGTCTTAGATGATGATATGATTTGTAAACTTTTATATATAATAAATAATCATTAAATTTTAAAATAAAAACAAATCACGGGATGGGTTAAGAAATTACGGAACGGGTTATATTTTGGAAAGGATTTATATGACGGACGAATTTGAATCAATATTTATATACCGCTTTAATATGGGTTAAATCCTCAGTTTATTAATAGTTGTTTCGTGGACTCGTTGTATACCGTTACTTAATAACAATTGTAAACTATAATATAAATAAATATGTTATAAGGAGATACAATTTACAAAATATTTTTATACTAACTTTAAAGTTAAATCATCTCATGGTGTACCAGGGTTAAAATCTAGTAATGTATTATTAACTCAAGAGAACGTAACCAAGAAAAAAAGAGTATGAGACAAAAATTTGTTTAAATAAAATGTTTAAATTTTAAAATATGTCTAGTTAACACATTCTATTGATTTTAAATGTTTAATAAATATAGATATAACATGTGTTTATCGACTTTTCATGTATAGCTTGGGTTATTTAGTTGGAGAGTTGTTGTTCAACTTTTTTTGTTGGTATATATAACTTATAGTAATAATATACATTGAAGTCTATATCTAGCATATTGTTATTGTGTAGGGGATAATAAAACTGTTAACAAAATAAAAAGGAAAATCTGATAATTTAGTTTTTCGCAAGAAAATAATAAATGAAATATTGAAAAATATGTAAGAAAGAAAAATTAACTATACTGTAGACTTACCTTTTGTTTGTTTTTTCTATAAAATATAAAAAAAATATAAACTCTTCATAAAAATATGTGCAGTGAGATTTAGGAAAATAATAATTAATAAATTAACTATAAAAATATGCATAGATTTCAAAAAAATTATATGGTGTATAATGTATATGATCTCAAATATAAACAAAATTTTCATTTTTAAAATACTTACCTAGATTATTTTTTCTTTTTCTGAAATAGAGATACGTATATAAATGTCACAAATTAGTAAATAAATCAACGTATAATCTCTATCTATCAACTTCACAAGAAATAATCCTTGGGCAGATTCGATTGCAGGTAACGTCTCTCTCTCTCAAAGAGTTTTGAATCAGTCAACTCCTATATCCCTTGTTTCCTGTAATTTTCTGAACTGGGTCTTCTCTTAATTTATCATTTCTCGCCGGAAAAACTCTCAGAATTTCCTTGTATTTCACGGCGAAGCTATAGTCCTCTTGAAAGCGACCGTCTCTGATATATATTAGTTTATTAGGTAATGAATGTGAAATTTACCGAGTCAAACATGTTTAAACAATGTAAAAGGTGAAGACTTTTGATGAAAAAATCCAAACTTTGGATCTGTTTCAGAGTCAATAAGCTCTCTCATATATATCTGCGTGTTACTGTGTTGTTCGATTTGATCAAAGAAGGGAACTTTGTTGTTGGGTTGATCTGAATTTTTGATTTATGCTTCAAGTGTTGCAGGCGATTGTTTTGTTTATCTTGTTTTGGGTTTGGTTGTCTTGGATGGGAGGAGGTAGCTCAAAAGAGTCGAATAGAGGTGAAAGTAGTCGAAGGTATGAACGTAGTGTGTCTGGGGGCTCGTCTTACTCGTCTGCTTGGGACCAGAACAGCTATTATCAGACACCAAACCATCCATCTGCGTCTCCTGTTTCCTCCTACAATTCTGGGAGACAAACACCGAAGAATCTTGAGAGGAAGTATTCACGGATTGCTGATAACTACCGTTCCATCGATGAGGTTTGATGATCACACTTGTTTTGTTTATCTTCTTTGGTTGTTGTTTGTGTAGTTTTGCACCTTGGTTTGTGAATTTCTTTATTGGGGTTTTGTTGATGTTTCTTTTCTTTTAGGTTACCGCTGCTCTTTCACATGCCGGTTTGGAGTCCTCGAATCTCATTGTTGGTATAGATGTCACAAAGAGCAATGAGTGGACAGGTTAGAGAAGTTTTCTCTATTTACTCAATGTTTTGAGTCTTGGTTAAGTTAACGCTGCTTTGATCTGAAAGCTGACATGGGTGATTTGGTTTAGGGGCGAGATCATTTGGTAGGAAGAGTCTGCATTACATTGGAACAACTCCAAACCCTTACCAGCAAGCTATTTCCATCATTGGAAAGACTTTGTCAGTTTTTGATGAGGATAATTTGATCCCCTGTTATGGATTCGGAGATGGTAAAGACCCGATTGTTTTTTTATATAGCTGTTAAGTTTCTGTTTTGTTGTGATTAGAGATTTTAAGGTTGGTTTCTCTTTGACTATGTAGCTACAACCCATGATCAGGATGTCTTCAGTTTCAATCCCAATGATACATTTTGTAACGGGTTTGAAGAAGTTCTCATGTGTTACAGAGAGATTGTTCCGCAGCTCCGTCTTTCAGGTTGAGTGAGATGAATAATCCCTTTTCTTCTTCCTGTCTTCTGAATCTTGCTCTACTTTTTCCTTATATTTTGCTGGTTCTTTAACAGGTCCGACATCTTTTGCACCCATCATTGAAAGGGCCATGACAATTGTGGAAGAAAGTGGTGGCCAGTACCATGTTCTTCTCATCATCGCTGACGGACAGGTAAAGATTGGAACCGTATTCGACTGGAGAAAGATTTATTTTATCTGTATCTATTTGTGTTTAGTTATGATCATTCCCAGACATTGTATACTGTATAGTTACCATTGGAGCTTTTACTATGACAGGTGACAAGAAGTGTTGATACAGATAACGGCGGATTCAGTCCACAGGAGCAGCAGACTATTGATGCCATTGTAAGAGCAAGGTAATAAATAGTATTTCTTTTGAGGAAAATCCAATTTCAAACTGCGTCTTTCTAACTTGTGGTGGATTCCGTTGCAGTGAATATCCTTTGTCTATAGTTCTTGTTGGTGTTGGAGATGGCCCTTGGGACACCATGAGACAGTTTGATGACAACATCCCTGCTCGTGCCTTTGACAATTTCCAGGTAATAATACCAACATGCTTCTGCAATAGTGTAGATCTTGTCTTTGTCCTGGCAAATGTATCAATTTAACAGGTTTTTGTTGTCTAATTTGAATCCTTTCAGTTTGTGAATTTCACGGATATAATGTCAAAGAACATTGATCCAGCAAGAAAAGAGGCAGAATTCGCGCTTTCCGCCTTGATGGAGATCCCGTCTCAGTATAAAGCCACCCTCGAGCTAGGCTTACTTGGGTAAGTAATTTCAGATATTTGAGTTCATCACTGCAGCATCTATGAACGGATCTCAATGAGCACCAATTTCTTTCCTTGTTTCGAATTCGCAGACAGAGAACTGGACATTGTCCAAACAGGATTGCGCTTCCACCACCAACTTATGCTACTCAATCTATGCGCAACAGCCCAAGAACTTCCCGATCAACCAGCTTTCAAAACAGACCATATGATAATGGTGTTTCCTCTACACCACCTTCAACTACTCGTAACGAGAGCCAGGTATGATTTACAAAGAAAGAAACAACAATGCATTAATCGTCTTTTACTGCTCTTCACATCTTTTCGTTGGATCAACAGCAACAGGTTTGCCCCGTATGTCTAGTGAGTCCAAAGAACTTGGCTTTCAACTGTGGTCATCAGGTGCATTTCCATTCCCTGGGTTACCTAAGCATCGCACTTGAATCAAAAATATTAACTTTCCTTTGTTTTTCTTATTTTGTTCATCAGACTTGCTCAGAATGTGGGGAGGACCTCAATATTTGCCCCATTTGCCGGAGCTCAATCTCGGTTCGTATCAAGCTTTATTAAGATAACCCTCAAGAGCTAAAGGAACCCAAAGGTGACCCTGAGATCATTTACAGCACAGCTTTGCGTCTTAAACTTCATCCCAACTTAGATCTCATGACATTACCAGTGTCCTAGCATTTGTTTTTACTTTGAGCGGAATACCGTTGAATGATTATCGATCAATCACGGCACCTCTCAAAGGTTTGTAGATAATCTGTTGTCAGTTTTGAATTCTCATTGCACATGGAAAAACCACAGCAGACTCTCCCGTAAATAAAGGATCCTTTGGTGTTACAGATTTTTACTTTTAAGAATTTTAATCTTGAATGGTCCCATGACTTATGTACACATGTATCAAACAACATACACTATATACCTTTCTTGTCTGAAACATAAAGTCTTCAACACAGGAGCCCATATAGTCCTTTTTTCACTGCCATAATCGACATCTTATGGATGTAAAGGCTATTATAGGTTATTATCAGACTACATTACTTTTTACTGTAAGAATATATGTGATATACTTTTCTTGGTCTTCTTCCCCCAGTAATGAACAAGATTCGAAATCAAGTCTTAATCAAAGATATCCCAAGCTGAGTCTGCTATTCTTCTTAGTTTGTATTAGTTTTACGTATATGCGACTCGTCCTTTTACGGTTAGGTTAAGCAATAAGCGGTCCGGTTCCTCTCCATTCATTCATTTGGTTACCCAGAGTAAATCTAGTGTTTGCCCTTTATCGCGAAAAGTATTACCACAGTGATAAGATGTGAAGATTTTCAAATCTGAAAAAGATAAAGCCATTTTTCAAGTCTTGGAATAAGATTCCAGTCAGATTGCTCAACAATCTTCAGTTTCAGGGACCCTACTAATAATTTTATCACGCAAACCAAAGAGACAAACCTCTTTTGTGTTTAGTAAATTAAAATTCAAAGTACAGTCTTTTTAGCACAAATAACCATTACCATGAATTTCCGAAGTGACATCTCTGCTCTGAATGAAGACATCATAGTTGAGCAGCTACTTCGTAGCCATGATCCAGACGGTCGCTGGCTTGATTCTGAAATGCTGCTTCAAGAAGTCGAAACTATCTTAAGCTTTGTTCTGCAAGATGATGTGAGCGCTCCATCTCTTGGGGTTTAATTCTTCAATAACTTCTCTAGATGCTTGCCAATAACAATGCCACTCAATTTTCAGGTATCAATGCCGCTTATGACAGAGAACTGTATTACCAACATTGTAGTTTCTGAGTCGAAGGAAACACTACCATACGCTATCACCAGAATCTCCGTTCAGGTAACTGATCATCCTTTCTTCTTAAATCAATTCTTCCTGTAAAAATGCATGGACCCGGAAATCTTGAAACTCTTGAAGCTGCAGATGCTTTGTCCATGCACTGGGGAAAGTGATATCCGGACAAGGACATTGGTTTTGTTTGATCTTCTGAAAGAATACAGATGGGATGCAAAAGCTGTGTTAGTACTAGGAGTCCTTGCTGCAACATATGGAGGACTATTGCTACCAGGTCATCTGGCCTTCTGTGATCCCGTTGCAGCATCAATTGCGACACTCAACCAGTTTCCCATTGAGAGAACCAAGTTCAGACCATGGTTAGAGTCTCTAAGCTTGCTCATTAAAGCCATGGTGGATGTAACCAAATGCATCATTAAATTTGAAAGACTTCCATTTAAACAAGCGAAGCTAGACAACAACATTGTGGGAGAAACCTTGTCTAACATCTATCTGGCTACTTATCGGGTTGTCAAAAGTGCACTCGCATGCATGAAACAAATCCCTTATTTCAAGCAAACCCAGCGGGTGCATTTTTTCACCCTTCTTCTATCTTCTCTGCAAAATGAAAAACAAAACACAGAAATTGTTACCTGCATTTTAGCAGTCAACATTGAGTTTTCTCATGACTAGAAATTCTCTGAAATACTTAGGCAACGGAATCAAGGAAAGCAGCATGGGAACTTTCAACGAAATCAAGGAGAGCAGCAGGGGAACTTTCTAGTTTGGGATATCAGTTGCTACACATAAACACCCGCCTCAACAAGCAAGTAGAAGATTGCAGCACACAAATAGGTAACTTTCAAGTGCTCTGATGTCAAGTTCCAACTCTTAAAAGCAAAGCTCATCTCTGATGTTGTACTTCTCTGATGTTATGTCTAAAGAGGAAAAAATCAATCAAAGGCTTAGAAACATTAACTCAGGGACTCATCAAGACAACCAAGACGTACTCCACCTACTTTTTTCTCTACAAGATGATTTGCCACTTCAACAGTACTCCAGACAGGTATAAAGAACAATCTATTCTTCTTTTTCCATGTTCATTCTTTTTATTTCTTTCCTGTCTCGTCTTTAACTTTACATAAAGATGAGGGACGACATTCAGTATGACGATACATAGACTGATTCTTTTACCTTTCATAAGTGAATACATTCTGTGAGCAGTTGTTCCTTCTAAAATGGTTTTAACCTTTGCAAGAGCATTGAATATTCTTTATCACCAAATGGCAGATACCTATAACTGAGCTACAAGAAAAGGTAATAATGCTGCTATTATCAAAGCCACCCGTAGAGCCACTTTTCTTCCTGCTTCAACAGTTATACGATCATCCTTCCAACACCAACACAGAACAAAACTACGAAATCCTATGGGTTCCAATACCATCATCCCAAAAATGGACAGACGAAGAGAAAGAAATCTTCGATTTCTACTCCAATTCCCTACCATGGATCTCAGTAAGGCAACCATGGTTGCTGAGCTCCACAATACTCAACTTTTTCAAACAAGAATGGCATTATGGAGACGACGAAGCAATGGTGGTAGTGATCGATCCTAACGGGAGGTTCGTGAACATGAATGCCATGGATATGGTGTTGATATGGGGTGTTAAAGCATATCCATTCTCAGTTTCCAGAGAAAATGAGCTCTGGGAAGAACATGGATGGTCTATGCAGCTCTTGCTCGATGGGATTCATCCTTCATTTGAAACCTGGGTAAAGTTTTTCATCAAATTTTCAAATTCTTTTGCTCAGATTCTGATGAGACTCTATGAATCAGGTGAAAGAAGGAAGAGAAATCTGCATATTCGGAAGCGAGAATTTGGATTGGGTTGATGAATTTGTGTCACTAGCAAGAAAAATTCAAAATCTAGGGTTCCAATTAGAGCTGATTTACCTTAGTAATCAAAGGAGAAGAGACGAGCGTGCAAAAGCCATGGAAGAGAGCTCAATCTTGTTCAGTCCTACATTGCAACAGCTCTTCTGGCTCCGATTAGAAAGTATCGAACGATCCAAACTCAAGCGAATTGGGATTGAATCATCGAAATCTGATCGTGTTCTTGAAGAAGTTACGAAACTTCTCGACTTCGATTATGGTAAACACAAAGGTTGGGGTGTTATTGGAAAAGGATCAACGGCGGAGACGGTTGATGGAGAGAGGATGACGGAGAGGATGAGGAAGATTGTGCGGTGGGGAGAGTACGCGAGAGGGTTGGGTTTTACGGAGGCGATTGAGATTGCGGCGGAGAAGCCGTGTGAACTGAGTCAGACGGTGGTTGTTCCGTTTGAAGAAGCGTTGACGAGGAGAGTTGTCACGTGCGAGAAATGTAAGTGGCCAATGAAGAGGTTTGTTGCGTATCAGTAACTCACAGCCCCGTTACTTTAATATTACCTCCGTAATAATAGTATGTTTGTCTTTAATTTATGTTGTTGGTTCGTTTAAATAAATTCTGAACAAGGGAGAGCAATTGTTAGATTTTCAGATAATCCAGGTTTAATTTCAACATCCTGTAGGGATGTGCCTTTAGTTAAGTAGTTAAGTCCACTTGACTCCGTCTTCCTCACCGGAGTTCGACTCAACTAAATCGCGTTACCCTGCGTAGTAGGGATTGGCTATGGATCGGGGTTTATCGATCCAAAATAAAAAATAAAAAATTCAACATCCTCTGATATATTGAAACAAAATTTAGAGAGATTAAGAGTGTTGTTAAACCAATGTAATAATAATTACTAGCTGATTATTTTCACATCTTGCATGGAATTTTTTTTTTTTTTTTTTGATAACCCAGTATCCAGACCACACAGTGATCTGACTAGCTCACTGGGCCTAAGCCCGCGTCACAGGGAATTTTAAGGCTCCACTTAAGGGCTCCCTGATAAACTGGTGGTCTGGGGCGCCTGAGCAAGTCCGCAGGTAAATTCCCAGGTGGCCACAGGAGTGAGAGAGCGAAACTGCGTCTGGGAGGATCGATCCCTGGCCTAGACCAACAGGGCGATCCTTCCAACCAAACGAAAACCACTCGCCCACCACCATGTGGTTAAAAACTGTTAGGGTAAACTTTTTATAGTGACTGACCCCACCCCGAAAGGCCCCATATCCAGGAAAATCCTATATGCGTCATAGAAACCCGTGGGCCATCTACAACAGGATTTTATTTGGAGAGGTTTCAGTTCCACCCCGCCGACAGAGAATCGAACTCGTCATAGAAACCACTAGGCCATCAAGGACTTCTCTTTTTTTTTTTTTTTTTTTTTTTTTTTTTTTTTGAGGTTATTAGGTCGATAAAGGTCGAGCCATTTAAATTATACACCGCAAAGTGATGTAAATATTTGGAATCGATGGAGAACGAGTTAGTAAACCTGTGCAACAAGATAGCTAAAGTTTTGCCTCTCAAAATCATAGCAATTTTTACAATTCGATTATTGAAAATGTTGGTATTAATTATTAACCTTTCTACCCCAAGGTTTCTTGTGGTCTAGAAAAAATGATAGATTTTGTAATAATAATTAAGAATATCTTGGTAATAACCACACACTAATAAACCAAAAATTGTAATTTAGGTATTAAATCTACAACGTAATGGTTAAAATATTGTTAATAAAAAACTAGTAAATTTTGAGTAGAGTCTTTTCAACCTACATTGAACATACCAGTAAATTTTGCATAAATATTATATATATATATGTATATATGATAAGAAGACCATAAAACTAGTTTCTTACTAATCCACGTTTAACCTTCGATTTTTTCCGAATATCCGAAAAACTTCTAGCGATGTTTTAAACAAGCGATAAATCTATATGGCCTATGCGACACGTGGCATTTGACACGAGACAAATACAATCAACGGTTGTAACACAATAAATTAGGTGTATCTTTGCGCACTAGATCTTTCCTCGTAACACCAACACCATCCTCCATCGCGCGATCTGCGACTCCTCTCTGTTGTGAGAAACGAGACGACGAGAAGAAGAAGATTTAGCCGACGAATACAACAACAACAACAATGGTGAAGGTTTTGACCTACTTTGGCATGACATTGGCCGCTTTCGCCTTTTGGCAATCCATGGACAAAGTTCATGTCTGGATCGCTCTTCATCAAGACGAGAAGGTTTTTTTATTCTCTCATCCTCTCTCTCTCTCCCTCCTAGTTTGAAATACTCATATCTGACACTTTTTTGGTCATGATTTTGGTTTCAATTTTATGAATTTCTTCGATTTTAAGTTAATGTGACACTGGATTTGGGATTGAGGTCAAACCCTAGGTTATCGAGAATTTGTATAATTTATCCTCAGGATTTTAAGAAATGGGTCTTTTTGTTCATTTCCCATTTGATTTGATTTGATTTGAATGACATGTTTGTGTTGATTTGATGATACAACGCCATGGAAGTGTTGGTTTTGTTCTTCACTTGGCTAAGCTTGAAGCTTTACCGTTATTAGATCAGTCCTTTGACTCAATGCTAGATTATGTAATGTTGGATTATGGAGATAAACAATTTCTTTGGTCCTATATATGATTACAGAACTTTGACTTGCGTTTGATTGCTTACTTTAATTTAGGTGTGAAATCACAAGTAGAGATTGTGAATAGGTATATGAAACCATCATTATTAGTTATTTGATAAGCTTTACCATGATTAGATTGTGAAATGTAGGACAATGGAGATAAAACAGTTTTAATTGGCCGATGTTTCGTTTGTTTAATTCAATGTCTGATTGTTTTTGCTATGAAAGTATAAGTAGAGATTGTGATTAGGGATATGAAACAGCTCATTGATATGTTTTCTTTTTGGAATTAAGAAATCTGATAAGAAAACTGTAACTATGTGCAGCAAGAAAGAATGGAGAAGGAAGCAGAGGTAAGGCGGGTTAGAGCAGAGCTGCTCCGGAAAGCTAGAGAGGAGGACCCTCTTGCCTGATCTTCTTCTTCGGTTATGCTTTTGGGTTTCTTAATCATATCAATTCACTTCTCCTGCACATTTTGTCTTTACTGTTATGGATCAAAATTGAGTTTGCATAAAGTGACATTACCATATATGCTTTTGAATGTGGGATGATGATGAATAATTTTGTCTTTGTTCTTCTTCTTAACTAATGAAACACTAGTGGAGAAGTTTCAGCATCTAGCTCTGGTTTTGTTTTCCTCTAACTGGTACTGTAACTATGCATCATTGATTTCGTGTTCATGCACAAGTCAAGCAGATTTCATATTTCTGAGCCAACGGAACAGCCAAGATTGAGCTTAGTAATAACTAGTATTAGAATGTGAAACATCAAACAAGAATATCATACTCAGTTTTCGTTAGACCAAAAAACTTGACCAGTTTTACAATCAATCTATGCAATATGATTAAACCGGATTTAACCAGAGAAGACAAAACCAGAAGAGAATGATAAATGAGTTTAACATTTCAGACTTCTGAAAGTTACATAATGGTCTATTCTCATACAAAAACCTTCAAGGTTGTTCAGAAATGATGAGCTTTTTGTCGGGACTTGGTGCTGAATTCTGATTCTTATACTTCTACAATTGTATTCTTCTGCATTTGCATCACTTTCCTCCTACAAAACAGAAGCAAAAATTTGTTTAATTATAACATTACATAATCGGAATATCACACTGTTACGTAGTTCTCTTTATGAGAATGACGTACCTCTTGTAAGAGATATAGTTCTCTATGTCTGGTTTCTGCTCAGGCTTAAAAGCTAACCATTTTTCATGTGGACATAAACCATCAAATGTTCCTAAATCTGTGCATTAATAAGATTCAGATTAAGTTACTAAACAGTAAACACGTGCATAAGAAACATAGACAAAGAGTTTAGTAAATTTCAAACCTTGAAGCAAAAAATTTGGTTCTTCTTTATAGCAGTTCAATTTCCAGAGAACAAGACCATTATCTTCCACCATGATTGGTTCAGTTCTACGCGCATCACATATACGCGTCGCTGCAAACGGATTTCATCAGGTTAAACAAACAAAAATATAAGACAACATTTGTTAGTCAATTAATAGAATGAGTCTTAAGGATTTAGACTTACTTCCAGCTGCCATGCCCTTTGCCTCCATCATTTCATCATGAGCTTCTTTAGCTTCAGCTCTTATTTGAGACAGAATTGCGTTGTGTTCCTCAATGGACAATGGAGCTCCGTTTTTCTTCATAATGGCTTTGGCAACATCACCTTGCAACTTCTGCTTGAGCTGCTTCTCCTATAAAGACAAAACGAGCTTTAGCACAAAGAGTTGATATATAAATCCATCTTACAGATTTTAGAAAATACCTTTTCCTTTGCGGTTGCGGCCTTTCTTTTAGCTTCGTTGTTATTTGCTTTACACTCTGTACTCTGGCTCTTAATGCAATTCCTCATTGCACTGGAAAGCTTTAACACATAAGTTGACTCATAACAAAGCATAAACTACAAGAAAAGTTGATATTGGCATATAAATATACCCATACCAGGTGCTAAGTGATTCATCACATACAAAGTTGAGAAGCTTGAGCCTTTTTGATGCATCCATCTTCTCATACTCAGCAACACCTACTTTAAAAGTTTCAGGTGGGAACACATCACTCAAAAATTCTGACTGCAATAAGATCTCTCCAAGAGCAGTGAACCAACTGCTGTCAGATACACTTAGAGACAGGGACCTGTAAACAATTCAAATGCGTCATAAACAGAAGCAATAAAAAGAAACATATAGTATGTATACTTCAGGGACAGAATAAAATCACTCATACATTTCTCTATCCTGTGATATTAGATCCAACAATTGGATCATCAGCTGGATAATAGAGCAGTACTGTTGTCTCCTTGTGTTACGCCCACATGAGAAGAGCTCACGAACAACAGTTTCAGCTTGTCCTTCCTTCAAATCAAGAGCCTATTAGGAAATTCACAATGAAACAGATTAAGAGTTAATAGTACATATCATTAGTTAGTTATCGAGCTATAGAGAACAATTACCATACCTTTCCAAAGGCTGAGCAAAACTCAAAAAGCTGGAATACATTTCCAGCTTCTTCAGTTGGTATAACAATGCCTGAAACAGAATTCAAGCTTAGACCCTGTGGCAGTTGAGCCTCAAACTGAATCTCCTCTTTCAGCTTGTGAGTGGCTTTGGCTTTCTTGCTCTTGCCCACCACTTTTTTCTCCTCCTTGGCAACATCTGTTTCGTAACATAAGACATTTAGCATCTCCTTTATATAAGACAACTTTCATAACACAAATCTTTAAGTCTCACCAGCTACTTCAACATCTGTCCCAGAAACAGAATCACTATTCCCACTACTACCTTCCATAAAATCATCATTCTGCAGAAACCATATTGATCATGTAAGCATAGTAAAACACTGGAGCTAAGATCACAAAAATTAAGATTTGTGTAATTGTTTTTAGTACCAGTTTTGGCTTCTTCTGATAAGCAAAGTTATCATGCCCCTCAACTTCAAGAAGCATAGAGACCGAAGCTAATCCACTGGCTTTAGCTTTGTGTGCTAATATCCCAGTAGGATTTAGCCCTCGTTTCTTCCTGCAAAATCCTCGCAAACATTTTTAAAAATTCTCTCTTTAATTAATAAATCTCAATTCTCAAAGACATGTGAATTACCTGCAAAAACTGCAATTGCAGATGCCTCTACACTGAGGACACATCCAGTCATCCAACTTTGCTACTTCTTCTGCATTCTCACCATACCTATGATTCACACCAAAAAAACACATAATAAGAACACATAGACTCAGGAAAACTTAATGAAACAAACAAAAACACGAAATACACAAAGCAAACCTGTTTATTAAACACTTATGACAAAAGTTAATGGTACATTGCTTGTCCTTCTTCATTGCCTTGCACGACGCAACGAAGTCCATCGTCTTCTGTCGACACTGCAAGCAAACAAACAACAACATTTTTTCAAATATCGAAACTTTAATATCATATACCAACCAAAATCAAGTCTAAAGCCACAAACAAACCCAAGTCTAAATCCACAAACAAAATCAAGTCTTTAACCACAAACTCAATTCTAAAGCCACAAACAAAATCAAGTCTTTACCCACAAACAAACTCAATTCTAAAGCCACAAACAAAATTAAGTCTTTAACCACAAACAAAATCAAGTCTAAAGACACAAACAAACTCAAGTCCTTAGCCCACAAACAAAATCAAGTCTTTAGCCACAAACAAAATCAAGTCTTTAGCCCACAAACAAAATCAAGTCTTAAGCCACAAACAAGCTCAAGTCTAAGGCCACAACCAAAGTCAAGTCTTTACCCCACAACAAAAAAATCAAGTCTTTAACATAAAACCAACGCAAAACACACAAAATTTTGAGAATCGTAGAGTCATTATTGCTGAATCACCTGGTGACAGGTTTTGCCATTACTGGAATCGTAGATTCTTCCTCCGACGACTCTAACACCAGGATTAGTGGTGCGCTTCGATGGTTTCTCACCCTTAATAGCCATTAGAACCGAAAGATTCGAAATTTGAGGAAACAATAGAGAAGCTGAAGAACTAAAATCGAAGGAGAAGAAGATCAGAGGGCAATGAAGTAATTTTACGAGGAAGATTTGGGGAATCGTAAGAGGTTTTTCCCTCTTCTTTAATTCGGTAAAAAAATTCGAAAAGAGGGAAAAAAAACACATTGAAAATGAAAATGTAAAAAAAAAAAAACATTGTCTCTCGGATGATGATTTCTCATTCGTTTCCTCTACTCAAAGGATTGGGCTATTACTGGGCTTTTATTTTGCTTTCTAGGGGTAAGACTAATCCGGTTAGTATGTGATATGATGAGATTGTTCCAAATATTAATTAAGGAATAAAAAATAATGAAAGATCATATACAGTTTTCAAAAGAAAGAGAAAGACAATGTTAAATTATATTGATAAATATGAATACAAATAGAAAAATAAGAGGAATATTTTGATTGTGGACCTAAACATTATCATTAAAACATAGAAAAATATACCAGCCTATTATGTCACAAAAAATCATTTGTATTATTCATTTAAAATTGGTAGATTACCTTCCTTTTTGACTATGGAAATGCACTATATAAAGAAAATCAAAAAGCTAAAAAGAAGTAAGTGAGAAACAAAAAATAAAGAAGAGAAAATGAAAATGTTGAAGAGAGATTTGATGTTACTAATAACCCTAATCTATTTCTTGTTGACATCATCAATGGCTCGTAAAGATTTTTCTCTGTTTGGAGTCGAGAGAGACGTAGTCCCAGCCGGAACCGATCTAAAAGAGAACAAGGCGCAACCTCATCTTCCTTTGTTTCGAATTATGAGAACAGTTCCGTCCGGTCCCAATCCATTACATGAAATTTCTCCTCCTCAGCCCAATATTCCAAACTATGCTAGGAACTGAAATTTTTTAAAACATCAACCATTGTTCTACTAATGTCTATTAATTTTCTCCTTCTTTTACTTAATAAAAATTGATGATTAAAATTATATAATTTTTGCTGGTATGGTTGATAATTATCCGAATTGTGGAACATTTATATATAAATCGTCTTTTGTGGCTATTATTAATCTTATATATTGGTATATCACTATATCTTAACATTTTCTAAACATCCATTTCAATTATATTCTCCTGTTTTGCCAATGTGACTGTATTGAGCCGAAGTCATATGACTCTAAAATACTTTTGTCTTTGCAGTCTAAGAGTTTGTGAACAAGCGACTAACAAGAAGTGTTGTGAAAAAGAGAAAAAATCCCGAAACAAATTCTATTTATTTTTTATTTGGTCATTTAATAGTTGAATTTTTTTAGTTGAAATAAAATTTTCATGGGAAATTGTTAAAAATACCTTTTTTGGTGTGCCCCTTTTCAAAAATGCCTTTTTTAAATGTCCATTTTCAAAAATGCCCCTTTTTAAATCTAAAATTTTTATAAAGTTTTATTAGATTTATAAGGTACTTATGGATTGTAACTACTACTTGAAAAACTCAAAGGTTTTACAAGATATTTTAAAGGTTTTTAAAGGTATTTAAAATGCATTTATAAGGTATTAATAAAATATTTATAAGATTTTAGATACATAGAAATGTAGTTTGTGTATGTTTTAATAATATTACATACATATTTGGGTAAATCTTATATTTGTAAGAGCATTTTTTATAAGATTTTTAAAAAGGGGTATTTTGAAAAGTGGCATTGAAAAAGTGGCATTTTTGCAAAAGCCCCATAAAATTACCTCATATAAATATGTTTGGTTTGAAAATATTTTATTTTTGAATTATTGGTGGATTCAAAACCCGTGATTTAACTGATTTTACACAATCATTTAATGACATTAAACTTTAAATCTCACATGTTTTAAATAGTATATACAATATGTTTACAAAAATTAATGATTATATTGGTGTGGTTAAAATTTAACACCATTAAATATATGATTAATTGATTATGCAAATACAAAACAAGTGACTATTCAAAAAAAAAATCATTATGTTTTTCTAAAATTTATCATTCCTAAGAAAATTTAAACTGAAACACTGACTAATTTTGTCAAAAGAAAAAAGGGAAAAAAACCTGAAAATACCTCGTTTGTTTTTTTATTTGGACGTTTAATTCTTTAATTTTTTTGGTTGGAAGAAAATACCTTATTTAGTTAAATTTGTTCTAAAAATACATCGTCTTTGAATTGTTGGTAGATTCAAACTTTCAATTTAACGGCCGTTACAAAATCAGTAAACAACATAAAATTTTGACGTAAAATATACGTGAAAAATATTCCATCTATTTTTTTAACGTTAATACTCCAACCTTTTTTTGTTGGAAGAAAAGTACTTCATTTAAATATATCTGATCTAAAAATACATCGTCTTTGAATTGTTAGTGGATTCAAGCCCGCAAATTAATAGCCGTTAACTTTTCTCGTTTAGCTTGATAATATATTGTGTAAACTTTGTGGAATTCGATTTCTAAGAATTACAATGATCTTTTAATTTAAGAGAATAGTTCAAAAGGTAAATTTGAGCATATTATAGAGATAATTTCAATGTAAAGATCATTGAAATAAATATGAATGAAAATGGAAAAATGAAAAGAATATTTAGAATTGTGGACCAAAACATTATCATTCAAACTTTAAAAAAATATTAGCCTATTAGGTCAAATAAATCTTTTGAACATTTGAAAAATGAAAATCAACTTCCTTTGACTAATACAACTATATAAAGAAAATCAAAAAGCTAAAAAGAAGTAAGTGAGAAATAAAAACTAAAGAAGAGAAAATGAAAGTGTCGAAGACAATGACCCTAATATTTTTCCTATTGACATCATCAATGGCTCGTGAAGATTTTTCTCGGTTTGGAGTTGAGAGAGACGAAGTCCCAACCGGAACCGATCTAAAACAGAACAATGCCCAACCTCATCTTCTTTTGGTTCAAGTTAAGAAAAAAGTTCCGAGCGGTCCCGATCCAATTCATAATATGAGGGGACCTTCTGGAGATCCCGGTTCTCCTCCGTAGTCCAAACAATGCTAGAAATTTTAAAACATCAACCATTGTTCTAAATCTTAATCTATATCATATTTTATCAAGAACGTCATTGATTAATCTACTAAATTTCTTCTTTTTACTTGATAATAAAATGATTATTTTAATACTATAATTATTTTTCTGTAGTGGTCACTAATAATCCGAATTGTCGAACAACTATATATAAATCGTCTTTTGTGGCTATATATAATCTTATATATTGGTATGCTAATTTTCTAAAATATAGTAAATTTAAAAAATCATTGTGATTTATCATGCAATATGCTCAAATATTATATATAGCCACATATAAAGATCATGAAATATTAATATAGTAGTAATAGAGAAATAGAAAGAACAAAAAAAACAAACACACCACCCAAAACTTTTCTAGTACAACCTTAATTTTGATGACAAAAGGTTCCTAGATAGCATTTGTACAACATAAATTTTTGTTTACTAATAAAAAAAGTTGCCAAAACACTTCAATACAAAAGTTGAACAACGATTACATAACCAACAAAACCCATAAAAAAAAAAGATAGAGAGAGGAAGAAGAAGAAGATGATAAGACAGAAGATGATAAGACATGATGGATACAGCTATATATATAGATCGCCGCCTAAAAGCCGAAACCATCATTAATTTTCATTTACTGTTTCTCCTCCTTACGTCATCTCAAACGCCGCCGGTTTCGATTCTCTCACCAAGACAACAACTACAACCATCACTTCCTTCCATCTTCTTGTCGGACACAACAAACCCTTCTCGTGAGTTACTACAACAGCTGTCTTCATGATCAGCCACCGGTTTATCCCAAGGGTCAACAATGGCTACAGGCTTCCGTAACAACCGTCCATCACGCGGCGGCGAGAAAACAACCGGCATGTACTCCTCCATCTCTACTCCTAGTAGTTTTGCGTTCTTGAAATGTTTCTTTAACGACTCAAGACCCTTAAAAAACAGCCTTTTTAATATTTCAATGTGATTAAACTAGAGATTCAAGAAGATCTTTTTTGTTTTGTTTTTTACCTGGATTCGAGCATAAGTGACTTCACAGATCTTTCTAGTGTTGAAATCTCCCCAATGTTGATTATGAAAGGTCTTGTAAAGTCTCCACACTGCTTCTGGTGATGTCATATTCACAAACCCATATCCCACATTGCATTTGTTGCTAACAAAACACCAAATTTAACTAGCCCATTAATCACTAATCTACTCTTAATCACATAGAAAATGGATTAGCTAGTGACATTATTACCTGAAATCAATCGGGAGATAGACAAAGTCATAAGAAGACATAGGAGTTTTGTTCCCTTCTTTGATTACCTTTTGGTTACAGTCGTTACAATGTGTGTCCAACATATTCAAAAGCAGCTTCTGTCTGTAAATAGAAACAATACTATAAAATTGACTAGTCGATATTTGTTAATCTTCATGGGACCAGAATATATACAAAAATAGTAACACATGGAATACAAATAACTTTCTCATTACTAATATCCGTTGGGTCTTGTTGACTTTTTGTCAAACCCAAAAAAAACAGAAACCTCGTTTTAGGACATTATCGGACTAATAATAAGAGAATCAAAAACCATCAAGAAGCACATGCCTATCACAATCACTATGTTTTAATGAAAAAGATGCATGCTTTTCACTTACGTGTACTTGTTTGGGATGTTCTTGATCATCACGGTGGTTCTTCCGTCTCTGAACTCGCCGCCGGCGATAGCGTTTGCGTTTATTATGAAGTGAGCATCAAACCGATTCTTCTTTATAAACTTCTTAAGCTTCTTCTTCTTCTTCTTGTTATTGTTCTTCCGTTGTTGCTCGTACATTTGATTATTCAACTTCACCATCGGTGGTGGCGGCGGCGGATGATAGAGGTGGTTGTTGTTATAGATGAAGTTTTTATGGAAGCGTGAAGCTAGGAAGAGTTTCTTTGTTAAACCACCGGGACGGCTAAACTGGATAACCATTGGTTTACCGGAGATAACTTTTCCGTTCATTACACGAAGAGCTTTTGCGGCGTCTCTAACGTCAAAGAACTCAACGAATCTCTGTTCTCTCTTATACGGTGTCTCTCTCACTTGCTTCACTTCTCCTACAATGATTTTTATAAAACTAATTAACATAAAGTTTGGAACTTTATTTGTTAAAAGTTGAAGCTTTTACCATAAACTTGGAAAATGTGACGGAGAGTTGTGGAAGAGACGGTGGGTTCTAAGTTCATAATCACAAGTGAGCCTTGATTGTTTCCTTCGGGAACAGCATTGAGTTGAGGAAACACGAAATGGGCCCACAGAGAATGGCCGGAGACGAGTCCACGCGCCGTCGTGAATTGGAGATGTTGTTCTTGTTCTTGCATGTGACGGTAACGTATCTCGTTCAAAGCTCTTTGTGAGTTTCTTAGATTGTAGAAATGGACGGTCACGATTCCTTCATCTACTCTTTCCATTTGGACTCCACGGACTTCACCGAACAGTTCCATGTCTCGTCTTAGAGATGTCTCGGTGACGTCAGCTGGGACTGGTAATAACATCACGGCTCTGGTCGGTGTTATTGAAGTCGGTGGAAGATGAGGAGGAGGAGGAGGAGGGAGAGGGAAAAAAGAAAGGTACGGCGGAGGAGGAGGCGGAGGGAGGTAGAATCTTGTCGGAATAAAGAAGGGGTTTTGGTTTGTCGCCGGGAAGAACTCCGGAGCTGTTGGGTTAAGGTTTCTTGGGTGACTGAATGGTCCGGTTACTGACATGGTTGTTTAAAGGGAGAGAGGTGATGAGTTAGGAACTGGTATTTCCGGTGACCGGTAATGACTATGGACGTTTGATATTCTTCAGTGATCGTACTATTTCGTCTCTCTCTACCTCTTTATTTGGTGCCAGGAGAGGGAGAGAGCAAAAGTGGAATTTTTTGGTTTTGTTTTTATCCTGCAGAGATTGTTATTATTATTTCCCAATTTTGTTACCAACAAAACAAGTCAAGGTTCTTTAATTCAATGGTGTACTCACTCATTCGACAAATTTTACCATTTTGTCCTT